GCGCGACTTCTTAATTATTCCCGCTGAAATAGCTTCACCGTCCGCAGGGCTTCTCTGCAGCCGCATCCATTGTAGTCCCAATGGTAATCTCACACCCGTTCTGGGACTGGAGAGTCGGTAGGTGTGACGCAGCCCTGCAAATCCGTGGGGAAGCGGCGAGAAAACGTTATTCCCCGAGTTTGCCCCTTGTCACACCAAGGGGCAGCCGGCGGCCTGCGGAGGGTTGTTCAGCAGAACTTTCCGAAGCCCTGCGGTTGCCATCACTGCCTGAGACACTGGAGTCCCAGAAAGAAGCCTGAAGATTTTAAGTAAGATACATAATTTGATGGGAGTGTGTGTGCTTGTGACGTCAGGGCTCTCAAGCAAGCATGAGAACTCCGTGACCGGTGTGACCCGTAAGGCACAGAAGCACGTTCTGGCTGCACATAAGGTCCTATGAGCTCCACAGGGGTGCTTCAGTAACAGGCAGCAGAGGACAAGATGATGAAGAGGGTACCAGGAAACGAGATGTGGACATGAGTGTGGGACTGCGGAGCAGGCTGCGCTTGTTCTCCAGAGCTTCTTCAGTGGGACAAGAGGAGACTTTTCCCAGGCATCTTTTCTCCAAGTTGGGGATCTCCTCAGACTCAAATATAGAAAGGTAACTCCTGTACTAAATGTCAGTCTTCAAAGTAAAATAAAATAAATATGTGAAACCCTCAGAAAAGATGAGAGAGAAAGACAGAGAGAGAGACAGAGAGAGACAGAGAGACAGAGAGAGAGAAACAAAAGGCACAAGACAAGGCCAGGGAGATAGCTCAGCAACTAAGCACCTGCCTGGCAAGCGTAAGGTCCTGAGTTCAAACCTCAGTACCAAAAAAGAAAAGAAAAAGAAGGAGAAAGGGAAGGGGAGGGGAAGGAGGAGAAGGAGAAGGAGAAGGGGAAGGGGAAGGGGAAGGGGAGGGGAAGGAGGAGAAGGAGAAGGAGAAGGAGGAGAAGGAAAAGGGGAAGGGGAATGGGAAGGGAAAGGGAAGGGAAGGGAAAGGAAGAGAAGGAGAAGGAGAAGAAACACTGGGGTATGGCTCTGTGATAAATCACATGCCTAGCATGTACAAGGCCTGGGTTTAATTCCTAATGAGGAGGGAAAGCAAGGAGGGGGGAAGATAGAAAGAACAAAGGAAAAATAGAGGAAGGAAGGAAGGAAGGAAAGGAGGGAGGGACTGATTCACACAGGGGCTCTTGCTACGGAGCCCCTGCACTGAGCACCTTCCCCGCCGAGCTCCCGTGATTCCAAACCAGAAAACAGGCGACGCGCAGTCTCAAGGTCATCCTAGTCCTCTAGGATGCTGTGTCCCTGAAACAAAAATATTTCTGATAGTGTTCAGTACAGTGTACTTTAGCATGCAGGTTATGGGAAGTGTCCAGCTCCTCTGAAAGACTGTTTGCATATCTGAAGAAGGGGTGTGTGTGTGTGTGTGTGTGTGTGTGTGTGTGTGGAGAGAGAGAGAGAGAGAGAGAGAGAGAGAGAGAGAGAGAGAGAGAGAGAGAGCGCTCATAGCCCGGAGTTTCTCTAAGCGGCACACACGCAATCTCACCTACTTGAGGCAGGCGGTGCCTCCGGCGCTGCTGCCTTACCCAGCTGGGTTCCTTTGCTCTCCCAAGAGCGACATGAAGAGATGCGACTTCCTGCAGTTGGCCAGTGTGAAGGCCCAGCCCAAGGGCGAGGTGCCCCAGGCAGCACCAGAGAGGGCCCAGCTGGGATCCGCACGGGCCGGGTGATGCCACAGCCCACCGCTGCTCACTGCCCTCAGTAGCTTGAGTTCTACTTTCTCTTTATTAAATAAACTTTGGGTAAAAATCCCATATAGAGGGAAAACAACTTGAAGAGAAAGCAAGCTAGATGGAAAGAACCCAGTTTGGAGCTGGAAAAGCCCTCGAAAGCGGTAGGGAGCTGACTGCTGCCCTTCGGTCCTGATTATGGAAAGAAGGCGGCACGAGCAGGAAGGAACAAAGCGAGGCCTATTTCAAGGGTTCATGGGGAAAAAAGGAAGGGGCTCAGAAGCGACAGAAGCGTGTGGTGAGTCGCTCTTTAATGTTCTAGAAACTTCCAACGCAGCAGAGTGCTCCTCTGCCATCCAGGAGCAATGTGGGTCCTCCGCAGCAAATGGAGACACAGGAGGCCCTAACACCAAGGACACAGATCAGACGGACCAGCTGACGTCTGGCAAGGTTTCTCTCATATGCGAAAGGACAGATAGTACATGAAATAAGGAGACAGAAATAGGTAAGTGGGAGGGAACCAGGCGATGAAGAGAGAGGAGAGGGGAGAGGAACGGCGTGAGAAAAGAATTGAGATGTGGTGTGTGCGTGCCCCAGCTCCCCACGAGGAATGGAAACACCACATACTAATGCAAAGAAAAGTTGAAAAGAATTAAAAGTGAATTCACCAACCTTGGCTCGTGAGCTTAATTTGTTCCATGAGTCTGGGAAAGATAATCATAGTTCTGTTCATCACTCAATGCAGAGTTTGCAAACAGAAGCAAAATTCTGCAGGACACTTGCATTTGCAATCCAAATTGTTTGTGAACACAAGTATTTGTGAATCAAGGCATTTCTGTATCCTTCATAGTCTTAGCTTGCTTTTATCAGGAAAAATTTCTTTTTTTTCTATTTTCATGGCTTTATTGTGATTTTTTTTAGAGATTGCACATTGTAAATAAATTATTCACAAACTTAAATGAATATAACAACAAAAATTGTCCAAAATAAAAATGAAGAATTTACCAAAAAAAAAAAAAAAATTCAACCGAAGAAAAAAGTTTTTGCAAAAGTGGTTCTACTGGTTTTAATTCCCTCAAGTGTTCCAGTCTCTTACATCTTTGCCTATTCCAAATATGTCATTGGTTGTTCTAAGAAGGGTAAAATGTTTCCGAAATTTACAGTGTGGCCGGGTGCATGCCTGTCATCCTAGCACTTGGGAGAGTGAAACAGGAGGATCATTGTGAGTTTGAGGCCAGCCTGGGCTATGTAGTGAACTCGAGGCCAACCTGGGCTACGTAGTGAACGCAAGGCCGGCCTGAACTTCATGAGAAGACCCTGTCTTGAAAAGAAAAATGATACTGTAGGGCGACTGACATAACCATGAGTATAATTTCAATTTTCCCAGTAATAGGAGATGCTGAATATCTTCTCAAGTGTGTACTTACTATGCTTGTATCTCCTTATGGAAGCATCATTTGTCCTTCGTAAATTAGGCTGCTTTCTTATTAATGAGTTTTAAGAGTTATAGACATTCTACTCCTGCTATTTACATGGATAAATGAAAACATAGGTCCACAACATGACCTTACTTGATTGTTCTTAGCAGCTTTTCTGTAATGGTTGAAACCTAAAAATAGGGCCGGGGAGATGGCTCAGTGGAATAAGTGCTTCCCTGGCAAGCGCAAGGGCCTGAGTTCAATCCCCGGTTCCACCAAAAATAAATAAATAAATAAACAAATAAATAAATAAATAACCTAAAAATAGCCCTCACATTCACCGAGTAGTGAATGGATAAACAAACTACAGCATATTTGCATAGTAAAAAAAGAACAAAATAGCCACTACGAACAAACCCATAGCAGTATTCCACGTCTGAAAGAGTCAGACAGAAGCAGAACTCATACAGTAAGATTTCATCTATACAAAATCCTAGAAAATGCAAATTAAAGTCTCTTAGCAGAAAATAGATCAGTGGTTGTCTGAGAAAGGACAAGGGGACAAATTATAAAGGGTCACAAGGTCACCCTTTACCTTACCTTCGGGAGGGTAAATACATTCACTATCTTAACTGCACTGGTGGAGTCACGAGTGTGTACTTATGTCAAATGTATCAAAGTGTACACTATTGTGTACACATGTCGATGCTAGCTCAGTTTTTAAAAAATTTTTTTTAATTTTTCTGTATTTTAGGGAAGGGTCTACAGGGTGTTCAGGGTCTCACAACTAGATCAGACTTGTAGTGATCTGCCTATTTACAGCCTCCCAAGAGCTGGGATTACAGGCGCGTACCACCACGCCCAGTCTCAATTGCCACCTCAGTGTGCCCCAGGGGCGGGGGCAACGCCAGCACAGCATTAAAAGCGAATTTTTAAAAAGGAAATTAAAGGGGCCCAGGGAGATAGCTCAGTAGAATAAACTCTTGTCTGGCCAGCACAGGGTCCTAAATTCAATCCCTGGTGTCACAAAAAAACAGAAATTAAAACAACGAGCAGAAGAGAAGTTCTGACTGCTGCATGGGTTTCCAGAGCAAAGAAGCTGCTCACCACCCACGGGTTGGGACCATAAAGCAATCCAAAGGAAAACCAGAAACAATGAAGTGTCCTTCAAGAAGAACAGAACACTAGGGGAGGATTTTGTCACTTTACATTTTAATTTTTCTTTCCTTTTGCTTTCCAGTACTGAGGATTAAACCCAGGGACACACCTAGCTAAAATGTTCTAATTTATCGTTGAATTAAATCTGTAATGTAAAAGGGGACTGCGGGAGCACTTCTGTAGACTTCAACCCAAAAGGCACCGAGGGGCCTTAGCACCACGTAAATGGAGCGGGGGTCTGAGGTGCAGGGGATTCACTCCTGGGAAACACAAAGCGCTGTGGTCACACCAAATAGATGTGTTTACCCCTATAGAAACCTAGCTCGATTGTCACAGCTCTTGTCCCACCAACAGTCCCTGACTGAGTAATTAGCGTTCACCTCTGTCTATTGTAGTCTTAGAACTTATCTACTTAGAACATGATATTTACATTTCCAAAAATATCTGTATGCTACAGAAGAAAAATATTGAAATGCACGCTTGCGTAACACAGTGTGATTTTGGACATACAAGTAGTAGCCGTGGGAAAGTGACCTGTGTGACGTCCTGAATGTTCGGGCCCCGTCCCTGGACTCTAGGCCTGGGTTTGTGATGGGAGAGGGGACACTTGCAGAAACAATGCCCTCAGCCTTTCCCAAGGCATACAAGGATTAGAAATCTGATTCAATGGAGGTGGGAAATCACACCCGAGTCAAAGAGTTTATACTTCTGGGCCTTACTCGGTCCCAAGACCTGAGCTTGGTCTTATTTCTGCTTTTGTGCTTTGTGTATGTGGTAACGCTGCTGGGCAACCTGCTCATCATGGTCACAGTGACCTGCGACACCCGCCTTCACACCCCCATGTACATCCTGCTCCGCAACCTCTCCGTTCTCGATATCTGCTTCTCCTCCATCACTGCGCCCAAGGTCCTAGCAGATCTTCTTTCAAGGAAAAAGACCATCTCCTTCGATGGCTGCTTCACCCAGATGTTCTTCTTCCACCTCCTGGGCGGGGCGGACGTCTTTTCTCTCTCTGTCATGGCCCTGGACCGCTACGTGGCCATCTCCAGGCCCCTGCACTACGTGACCATCATGAGCAGGGGGCGCTGCACGGCCCTCATCGCGGCCTCCTGGCTGGGCGGCTTCCTCCACTCCATCGTGCAGGTGGCCCTCCTGCTGCCGCTGCCCTTCTGTGGACCCAACGTTCTGGACACTTTCTACTGCGACGTCCCACAGGTCCTCAAGCTCGCCTGCACGGACACTTTTGCCCTGGAGCTCCTGATGATCTCCAACAATGGCCTGGTCACCAAACTGTGGTTTGTCTTCCTGCTTGTGTCCTACGCGGTCATCCTGGTGATGCTGAAGTCTCACACAGGCGAGGGCAGGAGGAAAGCCATCTCCACCTGCACCGCCCACGTCACCGTGGTCACCCTGCACTTCGTGCCCTGCATCTACGTCTACGCCCGGCCCTTCACCGCCCTCCCTGCGGACAAGCCCATCCACATCACCTTCACAGTCATCTCCCCGCTGCTCAACCCCCTGATCTACACACTGCGGAACCAGGAGATGAAGTCGGCCATGCAGAGACTCAGGAGAAGGCTTAGACCTTCTGAAAGGGAATAAACAGCATTAGATCTTCTTCCCAAGGACTAGTTCATTGTTCTCCACAGAGTCCTGCACTCGATCGCATTGTCAGTAACCGCCTACACAGGGCTGGGTGTGCAGCTCAATGACAGTGCCTGCCTGGCAAGCCTGAGGTCATTAGTTCAATTCCCTGTACCAGGAAAAAAGATAAATAAATAACCATCTCCACTTCCTAGGTTCCATCCATTTTCCTGTTTAAATTAATAAGTAACTGATAAGCCAGGTTTCTGTTCAGCATGAAGGAAATACATTTATAGCGTTGGGCTGCCTGCTGCATTTTCTCTCAAAGCCCAAAGCAATAATATGTCATTCAGGACCGTTATCTTATGAATAGTTCAGCTGTTTCTTCAGGAGATAAGGAAACAAAAGCGCCGTTCGTTCAAGGCCTTGCCCCAGTTCAGTACAGAGACAACTTGGACACACAGCGCATTGTTTGGCTACCACATGAACGTAATTCCTTATGCTGAGCGTTCTGGCCACACCAAAGTGTAATCCTGTTCTAGAAGGATTGCATCCTCACCGCCTGTGAGGTACACATGCGCGGGCGTGACAAGCTTACCACAGACTAAGAAGCTACCGCTCCGTAAGTTCCACGTAGACCCACGAGCTGCTAAGAAGTCCTAAATACACGATGAAGTCTTAGCAGCAGAAGCAGCCCGGAAGCAGCGCTCGTAGCGGCCGCAGGGTCACCTTCTCATGCGTTCAGGGGCCCGCACGGGGGGGCGGGTAGTGGGGGGCAGTCCCTGCTCCTGCCGAAGCCCCTCTTTCCGGGCCCGTTTCCTACCCAGGCGTCCTCCCCGTCCCCCTTCTCTCTGGCTCTCATCGGGTTTTGTCTCTATGTCAGAATCCAACGGCCCCAAGACCTTTCGAGTCTGAAGGTCACCGTCTCGGAAGCGTAATCCCGAGGGGCTAAGCATCCCAGGAGCCCAGCCTGGTGACCGTCTCCAGTGACTTCCTCAGACCACGTCCAGACACAGGGCACAATCCGATGCGGCCACTCGGGAGAGGGATGGCCAGTACGCGGGGTCACGCTGGGCCTGCGTCACACGAGGCCGCGAGTGGGGCTGCATCGTTCCCATTTAAATCCGTCATCCTGACTAGCCGGACCAAGGTGTAGTTTACAAATGAAAGTTACTTATGTTACCAACGTGCGCTGTAATCCTGTGATAGATACGTACCATAAATTGAGAGGCTTTTAATAATTTTTCTACTGTTTATGTTTTTTAAGAAAATAAAAACTAATAAAATAATTAGAAATAGTACATTGAACAAAATGATAGGAATTCAACATTGGTTGTTATAGTGAATATTGTTGTCTTCAAATTAGATGTTCAGATTACCAGGTCTAAGCATGAAAAATTGGCCAAAAAATTTAAAAGGAGGAAAAAACAAAAAGACTGAAGCTTTGACTGTTCCTTCCAGTTGGCGGGTAGCAGGCTGAGGACAGCTCAGCGGCACGATGTCTGCCTGGCAAGCATGAGGTTGTGAATTTGATTGTAAGTACTGCAGAAAACAGATCGGGCCGGGGATACAGCTCAGCGCAGGAGTGCCTGCTGGCAAGCGCCAAGTCCTGAGCTTAACCCTGGTACCGCGATGAGCAGCGGAATTATCCGAGCTCTCCTGTGTTTGGAAGCTACTGGCGAAGACGCTAGAGCACTGACCTCAATCCAGGCCTCACCCAGCTTTCGAAGCACGTGTACGCGCTGCACTCCCTAGTGTGCGCTGGCCTGGGTTTGTGATACGTGCAACGCACACTGACTTGCGGGCTGACCTCAATCCAGGCCTCACCCAGCTTTCGAAGCACGTGTACGCGCTGCACTCCCTAGTGTGCGCTGGCCTGGGTTTGTGATACGTGCAACGCACACTGACTTGCGGGCCTCCGCGCAGGAGTCACGCATTCTAATCATTTTTGCTCCCCCAAGATTGCCCCTTCCTCTACCCCGTCTCCCACCACAAAGTCTGCCGTTCGTTCCTTTTTATTTTTTTCTCCACTTAATTCTTTTCTGCTCAGATTTTGCTCAGCACAGGCTCGCGGTACCTGACGGTCGCGTTCCTTCACAGCGCTGGCGGGCGCACCCGGCACAGCTGAATTCTTCCGGTACCCCTCCCTGGCCCGGGCCGCTGGCTCTCGTCTCCCTTCGCTGTTTATGTGTATTTTGAGTCTCTCACATAAGTGAAACTCCGCAATCGCTCCGGAGTCTGGGTCTAGTCCACTTAGCCCTGTGGCTCACGGGATAGCCATTATTTTATCCTTTAGTTTAGTTATCACTGGGTTTTTCATATGAGAGAAACTGCGCACCATATTTTAAATCATTTATTTGTGTATTTAGTACAGGGTCTCACTGCACAGCCTGGGCTCTTAGTGGCCTCCTGTCTCAGTCTCCCCAGCACTGGGATTGCAGGCGTGCACCACCCCGCCCGTGCGCCTGGGGACCCAGGGCTGGCAGGGCATGTGGCACCCGGGATCGAACCCGGCTCCTGGCGCTTGCCACGCAGGCGCTTAGACCACCGAGCCGTCTACCCAGCCCGCTATGCACCATCTAACTTCCTCCGTCTGCACAGTCTCAAGATTCGTCCAATTTTCCACAAATGGCTCCGACTTAGCCTTCTTTATGGCCCAGTAAGCTTCCTCCTGCGGGACGTTTCAGCGGGCGCTTCTTTGCTCATCCGCGGACGGGCATCTGAGCTGCTCCGCTGTCTGAGCTGTGCTGCCAGAAGCGGGCGTGCCGGGATCGCTGTGCTGCGGCGGCTTCGAACGTGCCAATGATAAATGTCCCTGAGTTGCCCCGGAAAACTGCCGCAGCTACCGATGGCGCGATCGAGGTCGTGCACGGCAGGGGCTGCCACCGCGCTCCTTCCCTAGATTCCGGGGAACTGCGGGTCTTGAGGGGAAACTGGAACAGCTGCACAGCGCCAGTGTCCGCGTTGCTTTTGGCAGAGGTCAGCAGAGGTGCGCCAGCCTGTCCCTGAGAGTCGCTCGCGGCACCCCAGGGCCTCAGATCTCCCCAGGGCCTCAGATCTCCCCAGGGCCTCAGATCTCCCCAGGGCCTCAGATCTCCCCAGGGCCTCAGATCTCCCCAGGGCCTCAGATCTCCGGGGCTGCCTTTCTACCCCGCCAGCTGACCGCAAAGCTGAGTCTGGTCAAGAGGCGGGCTGCAGGGCGGCGAGGGTCACCGAGCGAACTCTGGGCACACAGCACGCGGTGCTGTGGGCTTCCCCTAGAGGAAAGGAAGCGTCCTCCAGGAGCCTCCTGCAGGGATAGCTGGGGCGGAGAGGCGGTGAGGGACAGAGGTGAGGTGGGGGCAATTAGTGACGCTGACGGACTCCCCGGAGAACTGCGCCCTGTGGGCCACTCCGGGCGCCCTCATCCCCGGCAGTGTTCCCTGGGCTGATCTTGAATTGGGCGGTGGCTCGGGGACCAGGGCAGGCGCCAAGGCTTTGGAGGAGAACAGAAGTCACACCCGTGTGTGTCCCCATCTTTCCCGTCTTCAGGAGGAAGGTGACAGTCTCCATCCCTGAGGTAGGCTGGACGTGAAACACAGAATTTCCCGAGGTCCTGCTTTTGGGACATTGGGCAGCGTCGGGAGAGGGTTGGTTTCCCACACGGAGAGCTAGTGTTGGGGCGTGAGCAACCGAGACGTAGAGAAGCCACTGGCGCTGACTTTTCAGGAAGCCCACGAGGTGTTCCCGCCAAAGCCAGAGGTCTTTGGGAAGCAGAGAAGAAAACTCTCCGTTTCACTATGGGAGACGGGGAAGGTCTAGCTTGCTCAAGGGACAGCCATTGCCTCTTTTTTTAAATTAACTTTATTGAGAAACAAATAGCACTGAGACACTTTCAAAACAGGTTAGTGGGTCAGTTACAATAATTAATACATTGCATATTGTTGTCTTCGTAGTACTTACTCAGAGTACAAGATGCAGACATGATATCCTGTCCAAGCACTGTTAGTGCAAATCTTTCTCCTACGGATAACCCAGTACTATTATGAACTACTGGATTAAACTGTAATATTTTGCTGAATTCACACACCTACAATATTTAAATGGCAAAGGAATACCCATCCTGACAAAACTAAACAAAAAAGGGGGATATAAATGATCATTTTGTAGTGAAATATATACATATGTATGTATATACAAAATAGTCAGGATAGACATACAGCTACTTTCTCTTAAGGCATGTCCTCTCTTTCTGTTTCATTGCTGTAAAATCAGGATGATGACAATATCTATTTCCCGTAAATAGGACACGCTTCAGGAGAGAGCAAGTGAGCAGCGGAATCACTCCACAAACATATGGCAGAACAAAGCCAGATGGGGGAGGGGGGAGGGAGGGAGGGAGAGGGGGAGAGACAGACAGAGAGAGAGAGAGAGAGAGAGAGAGAGAGAGAGAGAGAGAGAGAGAGAATCCCGTTATTCTACTCACATGTCTATAATGCTGAGACCTTAAAAATGAGCCATCAAAAAACAACAATAACAACATGAGCCTGCCTGTCCTGGGGCCCAATTCCAGGTACCACAATTTCTCATTGAGGATGACTGTTTTTTTTGGTAAATGTTTATAATACGAACAGCTATATTTGGAACTGCATAGAAAAAATATGATCATTTAATAAGCAGGTATGTGAGCACAAATATTCTGAATCTTCAGACATATGAATTAGCTGAAGCCCTCGAGCAAAAAAGAAAACTGGCCCAGGCAGAGGAGTTGGAAACAGACCACAAGGACAGCGCAGCCGCACTCAGCCGAGGCCCTCAGACAGACCCAGTGGGCAGAAGGGAGACGCCTGGGCTGGGGGCTGGACAGCCAGCCTCAGCAGTGCGGCATGCGACAATGACCGGAAGCTGCCTTCTGTGGTCCTAGTGTGCACGCCTCGTGCCCTGCACAGCGCTGGGCCAAAACCTCTTCCAAGCGGTGGGCACGTGCACGTCCAGAGGAGCACGCCTCCACTCAGCCGGCTCACCGGCCGCCAGCCCCG